ATATTTGGGACAACAATGACCTGGATGACTGAGAATCTCCCTAGACAAAATTATTTATTTGTGTAATTAGTTTTCTGTTGTTCTTGTTATATGGCATCCATATTTATGCATATCTAAACAGAATTATCTATGTACTTAGTATCATTTGCAAGAAAATAGTGGACTGTAGTGATTAATTAGATTAAATTCTATTAAATATTTACTAAGGTGGTGATAAAAAGAACAGATTTATAAAATTGTTTGTTCTCCAGTTTTCTGAGTTATTGGCTGCTTTTGATTCTGAGAAAGAGTGGCAAACTCCTTCCTTAGTTAAACTTTGTAAAAAGGATGGATAACTGCTTTTGAAAATTAATGCAGGAAGTATAAATTATGGAAATACCATTAATGTTTTTCTGGCATCTCTTTTAAAGTTAAAGTGTCTAACCACTCAAGTTAAGGTATCTGTTTCTAATGTTAATTGAATAGACAGCTGTTGACATTGTGGTAAAAACAACAAACCGGGAGATCCTGAGTTTTATCCTGCCTTAGTCACAAAGCCAGCTGGGTGATCCTTGGCCAGTCACTCTTTCTCAGCCCTAGGAAGCCAGCAATGGCAAATCCCTAATAAAATCTTGCCCCCCAAAACTTCAGGCATTTCTGCAGGCCAACAGTCAAGACTGACTCAAAGGCACACCACCCACTCACACTCACATCCACTCACTCATATACACATCAGTGGTGGGATTCCAATTTTTTTACTACGGTTCTGTGGGTGTGACTTGGTGAGTGTGGCAGAGGAAGGATACTGTAAATTCTCCAGTCAGAGATGGTATTTGCCAGTTCTCCAGAGTACTCAAAATTTCTACTACTGGTTCTCCAGAACTGGTCAGAACCTGCTGAATACACCTCTGATACACATGATCTAAGCTTAGCTTACAAAAGCCCAGAATTCATCTGAGTAGGATATACCTTCCATTCCAGATAGTTTTGAAAAGAAGGGAGATCACTGTGGACATTTTGGGAGCATTATACATGCATTTATTTCTCCCTTTGCTGTCGTCAACCATCATTTCTTTTCAGAATGTCATTTGATGGTATGACAAGATAGCAGGGGCAGCATTCTAATTATCTGTGGCGACAAAGAAGTATAAACAGTTTAATTTCTGTGCCTTTGAAGTGGGGAGGCAATTTCACTTGATAGAGCACTAATCTGGCCGCAGAAATTAGATCTGCATAAAAATCAGCATTGGATTTAATTTTTTGTTTCTTTTATACTGTAAGTGAGTCTGTACTTGTATGGCTAAGATTATTATGTGAGTAAATAATGGGTTGTACAAACCAGTTTTATTTGCATCTCGAGGACATTTGCAGGAGGAGTTCCTTACGTATCTTCATAGAGGAGACTCTTTTTAAAAAAATGTTTGCAGCTCTTTCTGTTAGCTTCTTCTTTTTTTTCTTTTTGCAGGTTTACAGGAACAAACCTTCCTGCTCCTGTAATCAGCAGCAAAAACTGGCTTCGTCTTCACTTTATGTCGGATGGGAACCACAGACAGAAGGGTTTCAACGCACAATATCAGGGTAAGTTGCAGGATTCTGACAAGCTTCTAACGCTGCCCCCTTTCAAAAAATTTTCAACTACAATAATTCCTAAAATGGATTGCAGATGTACATGGCAATTTTCTATTTTATTTATTTTCCTTTTCTATGTTTCTCATTGACTAAAATATTGGGACAAACTGTACAAATGTCAGCATGAGAAATTACTATTCCAGCAGCTGTATTCTCACTCAGCAGGTGTTATTGATATCTTAATAATATAGAAAAACTGTGTACACTTTTCCCCTCATACAATTGAGAGATGGGATATAAATAATAATCCTTTGTACACATCCTTCCTAATATTCACATTTTATACGTAATTTTGGGAATAAAAACTGCATTTCAACACTTAGAGAAATATTCAGCTAAAAAAATAACAATCATATCCCGATCCATTAGTTTGGATATTGAAAATTTTGTTTGTATTTTTTAAAAAATACTCAACCAATACACTTTTTTCACTAGCCTATTTCTAATACGATACCAGGATTCCTCCTATGCTGTGTTTTACTATTTCATTTTTGAAGAGATTAATTCAGTTTGACATTTATACACGCATAAGAAATTTTGATACAGTGGGTATATAATTGCATCAAGTTTACTTACTTCCAGTTCTATGTCAGAGAATAAATAATACTGGCATTCTAGGAGAAAATGAAAGTCACAACAGCCAACAGGCATCAAACAACAGTAGCAAAGAAAAGAGACTTAATAGAAGGTTTGAATTGGGATACACTGCTCAAAAAAATAAAGGGAACACAAAAATAAGACATCCTAGATCTGAATGAATGAAATATTCTTATTAAATACTTTGTTCATTACATAGTTGAATGTGCTGACAACAAAATCACACAAAAATTATCAATGGAAATCAAATTTAGCAACCCATGGAGATCTGGATTTAGAGTTAAACTCAAAATTAAACTGGAAAACAACACTACAGGCTGATCCAACTTTGATGTAATGTCCTTAAACAAGTCAAAATGAGGCTCAGTAGTGTGTGTGTGGCCTCCACGTGCCTGTATGACCTCCCTACAATGCCTGGGCATGCTCCTGATGAGGTGGCAGATGGTCTCCTGAGGGATCACCTCCCACACCTGGACTAAAGCATCCCCCAACTCCTGGACAGTCTGTGGTACAATGTGGCGTTGATGGATGGAGCAAGACATGATGTCCCAGATGTGCTCAATTGGATTCAGGTCTGGGGAACAGGCAGGCCAGTCCATAGCATCAATGCCTTCATCTTGCAGGAATTGCTGACACACTCCAGCCAATGAGGTCTAGCATTGTTGTACATTAGGAGGAACCCAGGCCCAACCGCACCAGCATATGGTCTCACAAGGGGTATGAGGATCTCATCTCAGTACCTAATGGCAGTCAGGTTACCTCTGGCGAGCACATGGAGGGCTGTGTGGCCCCCTAAAGAAATGCCACCCCACACCATTACTGACCCACTGCCAAACCAATCATGCTGGAGGATGTTGCAGGCAGCAGAAAGTTCTCCACGGCATCTCCAGACCCTGTCATGTCTGTCACATGTGCTCAGTGTGAACCTGTTTTCATCTGTGAAGAGCACAGGGCGCCAGTGGCGAATTTGCCAATCTTGGTGTTCTCTGGCAAATGCCAAACGTTCTGCACAGTGTTGGGCTGTAAGCACAACCCTCACCTGTGGACGTTGGGCCTTCATACCACCCCCATGGAGTCTGTTTTTGGCCATTTGAGCAGCCATGTGCACATTTGTGGCCCGCTGGAGGTCATATTGCAGGGCTCTGGCAGTGCTCCTCCTGTCCCTCCTTGCACAAAGGCGGAGGTAGCGGTCCTGATGCTGGGTTGTTGCCCTCCTATGGCCTCCTCCATGTCTCCTGATGTACTGGCCTGTCTCCTGGTAGCGCCTCCATGCTCTGGACACTACGCTGACCGACACAGCAAACCTTCTTGCCCCAGCTTGCATTGATGTGCCATCCTGGATGAGCTGCACTATCTGAGCCACTTGTGTGGGTTGTAGACTCCGTCTCATGCTACCACTAGAGTGAAAGCACCGCCAGCATTCAAAAGTGATCAAACCATCAGCCAGAAAGCATAGGAACTGAGAAGTGGTCTGTGGTCACCACCTGCAGAACCACTCCTTTATTGGGGATGTCTTGCTAACTGCCTATGCTTTCCACCTGTTCTCTATTCCATTTGCACAACAGCATGTGAAATTGATTGTCAATCAGTGTTGCTACCTAAGTGGACAGTTTGATTTCACAGAAGTGTGATTGACTTGGAGTTACGTTGTGTTGTTTAAGTGTTCCCTTTATTTTTTTTTGAGCAGTGTACAATACTTTCACCTGTTAAGAAACTAATACTTAGGTCATCCAATGCAGATGGGAGTCCAACATGGAAAGGAAGATGTTCAAGGTGGTTTCAAAAAGGGCTTAGGAACAAGATGGAATGGAATTCTTTATTGGCCAAGTGTGATTAGACACACAAAGAATTTGTTTCTAGGGCTTAAGCTCTCAGTGTACACATAAACAACAAAGTGATGATGTGTGCTGTATAACTGAAAAAGACAAAGAATTCCAAAAATAAGTCAATGTCAACTTCACTGATTATAGAAAGGCTTTTGTCCTCCATGCTATGTTAGGTGATCTCAAAAGTTCCTTACTATCCAGACTGTATGATTTGAAATTCCCCATTCTTATTATGTCCTATGTTAATCCTTTTTTCCCCCTCCATTTCCTTTCTGGCCATTGAAGCCCATGATTCAGTAAACAGCAGTGTGTTAGGAAGTCTAAAATTCTGAAATAATACCTTCCCCCATATGTATGCATGTATGTATGTATGTAGCTCATTTTCTAAATTGGTTTGAAGGAAAAATATGGCTCCAGCCTCATCTATGTGTGAGGGTAATGACTAATGTTAGCATTGCCGCCTCATGACACAAGCTTCACTATTTTGTACATGTGTTCCAATTTTGCTGACAATGGGCAGAGCTTATGGCACGATGCCATAATAATGCTTTTATCTTTCTGATGAAAGCAACAAGATCCTACTGATGCTCTTGGCTTCACTTTACTTTGATATCTGAATCATACTTGTAAAGGATCCCGCTATTCGCACAATCTATGACACTATTCACTCTCTCCCCTAAAAGTCTCCTGGTGTACTAATAGGGTTGGGGTTGTTTTTGTTTTGTTTTGTTTTTGCACATACACCTGATTCCAAAGCCTGGAGAAACATATTAAGAATATATAACTAAATCAAAATTAGGTTTTATTCATACTACCATTTTTATGTCCTTGCCCTTTCTACGGAAGTCAGCTCCTGTGGTACCTCTTACAAGGATGAGTGTGGTTATTGCACAAGATGACATTTTGCGGACCACCAATGTTACTTTGTTGTGTTAAATACCAATGTGTATTAATTCAGTCAATGTCCTGTTCTCTCTCTTCTCATAATAGGAAAGCCAATTAAGTTAGGAACTTTATGAATCTTTTTTCACATTTAGTTATGTTGAGCTATTGAGTCATAATCTTTCAGTTGAGCATTGCTTTGTAGATAGGAGGTTGCAGAATTAAAAATAAAAGGAGAGGAAAATCAGTCATGATTACTGCTGTGCTATTAAAAATACACCTGCTTGAATCATGCCTTTAAAAACAAAGTTTTAAAAAATGATGTGAAGTAAAAAAATTTGCTGTAATTTCCTCTCTGATTAAGGCAAATGTCAGAGGTTTGTAATCCAGTGATTTTGGTAAACAGCCTTTTCCCCCCACAGACATAATAGTGAAGTGTTTGCTATAAAATATAACTTTCCAAGGAGTGGAAGTACCAGAAGATGTAAGAGATTAAGAACAAATGTCTTTTTTTAAAAACAAATGCCATTTTTAAAGACTTCTGATTATTTCAAAGGTATTACTTATTCTTAAGAAAGAATGTTTGACATTTCAAAAGCTAACAGTAGAGGCTGAAGTTATAAGTATTTGAGGATTGATTACTCTTGATCCTTCCGGTTTCTACTCAAGTCATCTTTCCAAACTTTTTCAGAAAGCCAGAGTTGGTAACCATTTCACTCCTTAGCTTCTATGTTGTGATCCATTTTTTATTACTTTCCCCTAATTAGCTCTTATTCTTAAGTTTGCTAAATTTCATAATATTTGATTGAGCTCACTGAAAGAACCCAGTGCAAATGAAATGAGAATGTCACAGTCTCATCATAGCTAATATTAGTGTCAGTAGCTTCTTATATTTCATTGATCAGATTTTCTGTATTTTAATTTATGGAGGATTACATGTGTTTAGGAAAATGAGGGGCACCATGATGTCAATGGTAAAAGAAAACTATTGGAAATGTATTATTAGGGTTCCAAGTAACTGCCCATCTTCCTTTGGTTTATATGTTGATACATATATGTGAGAGTAAAATAATTTGTTGTGCTTGAATTTTTAATATTTAATATTCAATGTTGTACTTGAATTTTTAATATTTAAATATATTATATGTTCTGAAATGGTATATCAATTATAGCATTTCACCCTGCACCTTTTTTGTGTTTAATGGGGAACTTTCATGGTTGATTTGTATGAAAGTGATTTGTTGGCATTGTTTGGAGAAATGGAAAGCTGGTCAATCAGTGAACTGTCTTGTTAATTGGCACGTCACTGACTGAGATGGTTGCCCATAGAAATTGAACAAATACATATATAAATAGTACAGAAGAATAAGAAAAGTCTTCCAGTTCTTTGTTCTGGAAACATAATTTGGCTTTCCAAATAATCTTAGAAGTAGCTGGTCAGGAAAAACGCCTTCTTTTCTTATAGTTCTCTTTTGTTGAATCTTCTCTTTCATTCCCTTTACAGTCAAAAAGCAAATGGAGATTAAATCCCGGGGAGTGAAATTGATGCCAAGTAAAGACATGAACCAGAAGACATCTGTGTGTAAGTTTCAATCACCATTGCATGTTGAGTGAGACTCAGCACTTTGAACATCCCATATGACTTTCCAGCAATCACCAGAATGATGCAACTCTTTTTCAAAATGGTAATGCTTGTTCTCCCCTCCTACCCTGCATTATTGCCTCACCTGCTCCGTTTAGTGCTCTGTTTGTAAACACATACTAACTCTGTAAGGGATGTGTGTGTGTGTGTATGTCCACACATGTGTACAGTTGACTGGACCATATGCTGTATATATTGTTAGGAGTCCTTTGCAGGATTGCAGAGATCTTGATTTCTCATCTATATATCATGCACTCTACTAAATAATTCTGACAGAAACAAATACAAGTTTGACAAACACAAATGTCAGAAAGCTTGGGTCAATTGTTCAGAAACAAACAACAAAGGAAAACAATAATCTAAAACATGGTCAGTTTTATTTTCCTTTCCTGGTATATTAAATGTCATTGTGCCTATCTACTGCACATTTTCTCAGGAAAGAAGCAATAGAGTCTGTAAAAAGACATTTTGGAGATCTATGTGTTTATACAAACACAGAGAGACAGACAAACACACCTCTAGGATTGTTTGCCTTATTGGTAATTCTGTACTTGAGAACAATGTTATGCACTTGAGAAAGAGGAAGCGAGAGAGAAACTGTTGTTTGTGTTCCTCCATTGCTTTTAGGCACTCCAGATGTGTGTTTGTGTGTGTGTGTATGTGTGTAGTAGTAGTAGTAGTAGTAGTAGTAGTAGTAGTAGTCATATGTTGTTTTGTGTTTGAAATCTATTTTGATTTGGATAACAGATTTCAAACTGGGACAGTCATAAGAGGAGGAATTGAATCATAGAATTGGGCAAGTCACAATGGTACAGAAATTGAGCAGAACTGTGTACTCTTTTTGAGGATACAATAAGTAAAAGGGAAAGCCTCTGTTTGCATGAATTGTAAAGGCAATGGGAGACATTTAGGAAAGAACTAGAAGGTCTGTAAGTCATGTTCTTACGTAGAGTTAACACTTTCCTTCTTAGTGCTTCAATGCTTTAGACTGGTTTTTTTACACAGAAAGGAACTTCAAGACACTTGTTTCCTGTACACATCTCCAAGTAGCTTATTTCCTTTAGTAATCTTTGGAGGCACATTTCTCACAAACATTGGCTACTGCTGTGTTTTTTCATTAGGTGTAGAAAAGTTACCTCTTTTAAGTATGGACGGAAGACTCACGAATGTTGACCAAGGGTCTTCAGACTGGGATACTCTTTTTACAAAGTTGTTATAACCAATTGTGGGGCCCATAACTGGTTTTAATTTGGAGGGACAATTTTTACTCACATTTAGCCATGTTAGAGCCCTCTTTGAGGGAGATGGGTGGTTGAGAAATTTGATATATAAACAAGTGTGTGTGTGTATTATTGTAGTGAATTTATATATATTATATTGTAGTGAATTTGAGCCCTGAATTTTGCAATGAATATCTGACATGTGTAACATACGGAAATGAATGAATCTGTTGATCTTACTTTTGGTCAGATTATTTTTCCCCAGTAATAGATTTATTTCTTGCACTCTATTTCTGTATCAGTTTGTTTGGGGAGGGCAGAGGGAGACATATTTACACAAAATATTGTAGATATTTCTGTGCTATAATTCAGATGGAGAGGAGGCGAGTGGTGCTGTGCTTTTTCTAGCATGCATCCTTTTTGCAAATGACTATTCATAAAATAAAGTGCATTTTAGTTCTTACATAGCATCAAAAACCTCAGCAAGTTTGCATACAGATTCATATCAAATAAATCTCTATTCCATCTCTAATGATATGTTCCTCTGCTCCTTTTGTATTCAACCTTGTCATGTTTCTATTGCATCTTGGTATGGCTGAACTGTTGAATCCAGATGTTGAATCAGCAGAGCATCTTCTCCAACTGTAATCTTTCCAACTGCAGCAGCAAAGGGAGTTTGTTTTAATTATACACAAAATATTAATTATACACAAAAATATTTAATATGCACCAGTCTCTTTGAGTAGAACTTGCAAGAAATCAAGGAATCATTGTTTCATTATGTCAATAGTAGACTGAGCAAACAAACCAATGTTTACTGGAAGTGTGGGAAACTCTAATTTCTAGAAAGGATCTTTGAGAAGCAATTATGTATAAAAGAAGTAAGAGACTTGAAACCAATTCCTTCTCTCCCTACAGAAATTGTGGGCACCTGATTCTCACCATTACTAGTGTAGAAAGGAAATGTTGAAATGTTTTCTCTGATCCAGCTGGCAACCTACAATTTTTTCCTGGTCATATTTTGTTATTACTTCTACCAATATTTCCAGATTGGTGTTGAAAATAAAACAAGCAAATTAAGTCTTGAAGCCTCATACTTGTGATTTGACCTGCAATAAGATAAGTAATGATCATGCTATTTTTGTTTGCATTAAATCCATAGTGAAGGGCTGTGACTGTTTCTCTTATTGAATTTCTGAAAGTTAATCACACAAGCTTAGCAAAAGATACAATATTTGGTTGACAGAAACTTACATGCATTTCTAACTGGACAAAAAATAATGTTCAGTTATGATTTGTTTTCCTAGATACTGTTTTTGAAATGCAACTTTAAAAAGATCATTTTGGAAAAAAACCTCAAGGACGGATGAATTTTAATCAATTGTTTCAGAATGTGCTTACTGGCTGAGAATAGTTTAAAACCAGTTGAAATGCTTGCCCAACATATTTAGATTAGGATAAATTTGTCTGAGATGACATCTTAGCCATATCCTGAATGTGATTTGCTTCTGAATTCTTGTGCATGGTTTCTAGAACAGATTGGTTTAAGTTATAGCATTCTTGCATACTGGCTTATGACAGTGAAAAAAACAAAACAAATGCTTAGCGAGCTTATTGCTGTTTTCATAGTAGTTGAAAAACTAGATTAATAAAAGCTGAGAAGTGAAGACTAGATATGTAACCAACTAGGGTTTGCTTTTTGTGTTTTAGAAAATGGCATACTTTGCCTTTTGCCACCTAGCAAATTATATTTTTTTCCCAAACCAACAGATTGTTGAAAAGAAAAAGGACTCTGAGCATTCGTTTATCAGTCCATCATCATAGTAATTATCTGAATCAGGAGCAGACTGAAATGAAATATTAAATCTCAAAATGGTCTTGATCAGGGGTGGGCAGCTTTGATCTTACAACCTGCAGATTTCAGTTCTCAGAATTCCCGAGGCACTGCTCATAAAGGAGCCATAGCTGCCCACCCTGGTCTGCAGAGGAATTTTGAAAAATTGTACCAATATATTTTTATTGGGTCACAGCTCAAAATGTTGATGTGCTCCGTTGTAAGCCAATTCCCACCTCATCTTATGACCCAGACTGGAACACTGGAGGTTATCACCTGAGTTCTTCTATATATACTTCCATGCCCACAAGCAATCACAAATAAAATATGTTGCTTGCTTGCCCAGAAAATTATACAGGTGCCTCCTATGTCACTACTGGAAAAGAATGGCATATCCCCAGTTTTCCACAGCAAATCATTGTTAAAACTGCAGAAATTGCTTAGAAATATGGCCTTCTGGATAGATAGCTACTAAAGACAAGTATTTTAAATTCCATATTATTAGTCCTGTTAAATATATTATCATTCCTATGATATTGCATGAAGATTCATTTCAGAGCAAAAGTTCAGGATAACAATCAACAAAGTGGAACTGGATTCATGTATAATTCTCTTCCTTTTTCCTTTATAAGAAAATTAAGGCAATGTAAAACATTTGGTCACATTTGTAATACAGGTAATCCTCAACATAGGATGACAGTTGAGACCAGAACTTCCATCATTGAGTAAGGCTGTTGTTAAATGATGCCTGATTTTACATCCTTTTTTGATGCAATTGTTAAATGTACCATACAGTTCTTAGCAAATTTGGCATCTCCTTTTCACTTTTCTTGTTGAAAGCCAACTGGGAAAGCCAACAAATGATAATCATGTGATGGGGACATTGCAACCGTCATTAATCTGTGCCAGTTGCCAAATACCCAAATTTTGATCATGTGACTCTGGGGATATTGCAGTGGTTATAAAAGCGAGGACCAGTCATAAGTCACTTCTGTCAGGGCTGCTGTAACTTCAAATGGTCACTAAACTATTGGTTATAAGTCAAGCACTACCTCTAAGAATCACTCTAATATGATCCTGGAAACTCAATATTCATGCAGGTTAATATATTACAGTTCTTCCAACAGTGGTTGTCTGAAATTGACTCTGAGTTGTAATAAAGCTACCTGAGCATTAGCATAAAGTTTGCAAATGTCTACTGGAAGCAACTTTTTAAGGTAGGATGTGACTGATTAGCCTGTTGTGGTAACTAGAAGAATTTCTTAAGATGACAAGTGCTTCTTAATATCATTCTGTATTCAGTGGGACCCCTTTCTGTAAAGGAATGACTTTCTTTTTTCAAAGCTATTGAATTACCTTCATTATGCTGTCTGCTTTCATTAGATAGGATTTGTTCAAATCTTGGATAGTGGATAAATCAGTTCTTTTTTTTTTCCATTTCCTCCCCCTTTTCATTTTTTTTTCTTAGAAAAAACAATTCCATAGCATCTCATGCATTCTGGGCAGATAATGTCAAAGTAATTTGGTGGGATTTCTTATCCTATGGATGCATGCATGAATTTATTTAGAGTGCTATTTATTTAGAGTGCTATAATTTTCAAGTTCTTTCAGAAAGGGGCATCTTGAAATATAGGAAAGGGCAGGACTCTATGTTGATTTTTGTTTTGCTTTGGGTGTTTTTTAACAAAAGAAATTTTTCCTTTAGAAAGTAAAATACTTTGGAATGTTTCCATATTTTCTATATTCTCTCACATGTTTCACAGACAAAGTAACAATGCCTATTATAATAATGCTACATTTAGCCTGATTTTGCTTCATTTGGTTGCATTAATTGTGTTTCTATATGAATATCTGATTCTGCATTCTGTCTTGATAGGATTAATTCTGTAAATCCTACATTTTTTTTAAGGTGGTAAATAAAAAGTTTTGCTACACTTCATTAAAGAAACTGTCTTGTTTCTGGGAAGAAATATTCTGTTTGTTAGTAACTTGCCCCTTTGACTTTTCAAAGTGTTTTGCTGTATTTTTGCCAGACATTTTTTTAAAAGTAACAATGTCGGTAATAATAATGGATCAAAGGCAATCTGTTTACAATGAGGTTTATTTTCTTTTACATGAAAATGCTGAATCTCCAAACAATAAGGAAATTATTTATCTTTCAGTTGATTTTTTTAAAAGAAATCTGAACTAGTTGCAGTAAAAAAACAGATCAATGAAAATTCTTTTATCAAGCGTAGATATGGTGGGAAGATAATTGGCAAAGATTTGTATGGTATCTGAAATAAACTATTGCATCAGACAATTAAACCTTAATTAGTTGCATTTAAAGGCAAGTGCACATTTATATTGCTTATTTTTTAAGAGAAATAAATGAATAACTACATAAAAGCACTCTTGTTTCTAAAGACATCCTTGACATCCACATGACTTTATCAGGAGGGCCAACTTAACAGACATGTTCTTTAACACCTCTTCATTCATTTGATACTCTGACATATTAAGCAACTGTTTTCTCTGTTCTTTCTCTTTAATGAATATGGGGTAGGGAGCAGAGGTAGTATTCAGCCGGTTCTGACCAGTTCTGAAGAACCGATAGTGGAAATTTTGAGTAATTCGGAGAACCGGCAAATGCCACCTCTGACTGGGGGTTTTACAGTCTCTTTCCCCTGACGTGCCCACCAAGCCATGCCCATAGAACTGGTAGTAAAAAAATTTGAATCCCACCAGTGGTAGGGAGGATCAACTAGTTTCTTGTACTATATATGTCATTCATTGTACCATTACATCATTGTGAGGGCTGCCAGCCGGAACTTTCAAATTATATCTACCTTGAAGGAGTGGGAGGGAATCAAATATATTAAAATTACTTTTTTCGGGTAGGATTTGACTTAGCGAGAATCTATAGTCTGATATGTTGTGAAAAATTCTGATATCTATCTAACAGTAGTAGTTTGTTTTAGCTTTGCAGACCGAACACCACCCGGGCTTCAACAAAATATGCCTTTAAAACCTACCTGGACCTGAATTCAAGCTGTTTTGTGACTCTTATTCTGTACTTGCTCTCTGCTATTAGAGAGTACTATTACTATTATTTTGCTTCATAATGATAAACTCTAGAACTTCTTCCTAATATGAGATTTCTCTAGAGAAGGTGGATTGTGATTGTTGCAACTGCATTTAACGTGCTTTAAAATAAAATACAAAAAAATCAGCCTAGAGAAGGACTGATGACTATGATGACAGCAACAAGTTTCAGTAAAGATGTATCCCTTTGCCTCTCTATTTGTCCTCTGAAATTAGCATTTGCATTTGGAGGAAATGTCTAAAATATGGAAGTTCAAGGGACGTGAATTAATTTCATTTCATCTGCATAAATTAGCTTCAGAAAATTGGGGGGGGGGTCCTTAATTCTGCAGCAAAGGAGGAAAAGGTGAAACTCCATTCCCATGGGATTGACAATTTAGCAATGATTAAAGTCTTCATTTTTACGAATTATTTAAAAAGTTAAGATACATCAATGTGTTTTTCTTTTGCAACAAGCTTCTAACTGCTAATTATTAAGTTTCCATCTGTTTTCCTCCTTTGAGTTGATTTTAGTGACAGCAACACTGCATTTGCAGTTGTTAGCAAAGAGGATTCAAATACTAGTGTCTCTTGATCTTGAGCCTCAGGAGTCCAAGACTGTTATATCTCTACCCTTACTGAATGAAAAATAGAGCCTACTTGAATATGAAGGTGTCACGAAGGTATTGATAGGTAGAGAACAGCAATAATCTCAGTACTCTCTGAGCTTGGCTGTTTTCTTGCAGATGCTTCATAGCAAAATTACAATAACAATGAGCTCTGTTGATTTAATTCATCCATGGCTCCTGGAAGTGTTCAGGAAACTATTTGGAATTGGCCCTGCAAGTGGCCAGGTTGGTTAAATGCCCATGTCTCATAATGATCAGAGAAAAAGACTATAATCAAGGTGAAGTGGAGTTCTCTAAAATTTCTGAACTGCTTATACCAATGTATTATTCTTAGATATGCTTTATTCCCAGATTCTAGTTATGCATGATTATAATAAGCAAATATCAATAATATTACATTTGGTAACCTAGTATTTTTAACTTTTGAGTAAATAAATGTAAAGATATGCTTGAAAAATAATCAGTATCTATCATATCTTGCTTCTGTATCCCATTTCTGGGTCCCCAGGTTTAGTTTGTCAACAATGTTTTGTTCTGTACTTTTTGCTTCATAATTTAGATTCCTCATAATGTGCAATTAATGGGAACAACCAGCAGGAATATCCTTGGTAATCAGACCTTAATATAGGTGACTCTTCATTTTGGGGAGACCCCATTCCTGTATAAGTGGTGGGGTATCTGCATGGCAGCTCTTCCAGAAAATATTTAGAGGGCTTAGTTATCTTTCTGTTTGTTTTTTTTTAAAGAGAGAAGGTGCTGTACTTATCATAAATGTGGTTCATAAAGTTGTGTTGAATTTGTTGTGGTAGTTGATGAATTCAGTGTGGAAATATTCTGTGGACAATTGTTTTGAGCACCATCCTGTGATCACTCATGTTGAAAGAATAGAATTTCCATCTCCATTTCAAGGGAAAAAAAATCACAAGATGAGTGGGTGATCCACAGGGTTAGTTTCCCAAACTGGCTATGAATGGATATGGAGCAAATATATTGTGATGAAGCAGCAATATTGTGCTACAATGACTCTTTATTATTTGAATATGCATAGTTTTGTCTGTAGTCATGTAATTAGCAATGCATCTAATTTGTGGGGGTGGGGGGAGGCTTTACACAAAAACAGAGATAAACACTATAATGTTGCTTGATTTACTCCACAGTTGTTTTGTAGGCCTACATATTATTTTATTACACATATCCCTCAATGTACAATGCAACAAATGGTTATGTTTCTGATCCTTTTTGGCTAGGGAGAAAAAGCAAGTACCCAAAGTCTGTGGACTTGTGCAAGACTGACAATAAGAGAGCCATCCCAGAGTCCACTAGAGTTAAAATCCAGGCAGTGGTTCACAAGCTTTGCAGCCTCAGTTTCTCTTATGGAGGTCCTGATTCCATCCTTTCAGTTATTATGTTGTGTGACTGACTGTGGTGGAATCCTCTTCCACCACAGTCAGAGATCAGAGATCCTGCCTGGTTTTGACATAAGGACACCTATAAACAAGTATATTACTGCTTCCTTAAATGACTTCCTTAAAGACCACCACCCCCCAGTCACCTGTGCAATAGAATAGTCGTCTGAAGAAGTCTCTTTTTTTCCTCTACTTGATAGTTGCTGTTGACACCTCCAGTCTTAAAGATGCACTATTGATGCAGACTAATCACGGGCAGAAGGGGGGAGGATGATAAATCATGTTCATTGATCTTTCTACAGTAAGTTCTCCTTGCCCCCAATTCTGTGCTGTGCACTTCCACATTTCCCTTTGTCAGTCTGCTCACCCAGAGAATGGTGCCATGTATGTTTCAAGCTGGCTGTGGCACAAAGGACAGGGAAAAAGCAGAATGAAATTTTAAAAAGCCCACTTTTACCAACTTTGTGGCGGGGTCGGATATTGTAAAAACTGAATGTGCAATTGAAATCAATCCATTTTTATTCAGATTTGATCTCACCCGAATTGGGTACATGCCATTTTAGAATAGTTCTGGAATTCCTTGTGTTTGATGGGTGGCATGCTATACTCTTGGCACCGTCGGATGCTTCTTTTCCCTCTTCTAATGGAAAAGGCAAATCCTTTCCAGGTCCTGCACAATGAAAATAAATCACCAACTGTGAACTCAACTGGCTTCTGTCCTCTTCTCCTATCATCCTCCCCTACATATCTTGATTGTCATCTTCCACTGTTTTTTTATTTAACTTACTGCCTTTCATGATCATCTGCCAGATGGTGAAAAGTGGAATTTTCATACAATTTTGCATTCGGATATTATTTTTATAAGATGGCTTGGCCAACATCCTGGGAGATGGAAGAATATTTTGAGGTGTCTGCTTCAGTGGCTTACAACTGAGAACTGGGGGGAGGGGAGTGAATGGGATTTGAGTTTTCATCAGATGTCATAGTTCTATTTCTGAGCTGTATGCCTTTGATAGTTCACATAGCCTATAACTTAGCCTTCCACAATTTGCACCTTTGAGATGAGCTATAATTCCCATAATCCCAAGGTGCAGTCTGATGCATTTGCAATGCACCAGGTTAAGGAACACTCTTCAGCAAATGTTTTTGGGGGAGGGAAAATGGGAACAGATAACATTAACTCAGTGCATTCCAACTTGTAAATTTTCCATTTTATATGCACCACCAACACTGAGATGATATGCATTTTTTGTCTTCTATTCTACCTCTGTATATGCTGTTTTTTTGCTTTGTAGTAACACAGGTTGGTGCATCCCAGGGACATAACATGTGTCCGGACCCTGGGATTCCAGATCGGGGCAAAAGAATAGGCAATGATTTCAGGTAAGCATTCTTTTTTCCTTCTTTTCATGCTTCATGCTTACATGTTGAGCTACAGCCCTCACACATTTCAGCCAACACAGGTGTGAAGGTTGGCAGTAAATTTTAGAAGGGATGGGATGTTGGACAAATCCATCTATTATCTACATTATTATAGGCAGTTGATGATTCCATCAGATAACAATTGATGAAGACGAGGGAATGATTAATGAAGGCTACAGACACAGTGCCCTGTTCCAAGCTTTTTCACAGAAGCAGCTGGCTGTCCATTGTCAAAAACAGGATGCTGGCATCCCGAAGCTCTGATTTAATCAGCAAGGCTTTTATGTTCTTAAGAAACAAACAGCCTGCCTATGATGCACAATTCTGATGTCATAATATCCTTTTATGTCTCTGTTTATTCTCTCTGGGGTGATTTTTTTAAAGAGCAATCCCATGGACAAAAGTGAATTGGTACATGGAGATAAGGAAAGGGGAGGGGAAGGGAAGGGAAGGAGAAAGTAAAAAGGAAAGGGAAGGGAAGGGAAGGTGAAGGGAAGAGAAAGAGAGGGGGGGGAAAGAAGGTTACAGGAACCGAGCTTGTCTGGTTCTAGTAAAGAGAAGGACCAAGGGAGACATGATAGCGGTCTTCCAATATTTAAGGGGTTGCCACAGAAAGTAGGAAGGGGTCAAGCTATTTCCTAAAGTGCCTGTAGGCCAGACAAGGAATAATCGATGGAAACTGAACAAGGAGAGATTTAACCTGGAAATAAGGAGAAACTTTCTGACAGTGAGAACCATCAACCAATGGAACAGCTTGCCCTCGGAAGTTGTGGGAGCTTTATCACTTGAGGCTTTCAAGAAGAGATTGGACTGCCATTTGTCAGAAATGGTGTAGGGTCTCCTGCTTGGGCGAGGGGTTGGACTAGTTGACCTACAAGGTCCCTTCCAACTCTGATTATTTGTTATCTGTTATCTGTTAAGGAAAGAGAAGAGGAAAGAGGAGAAAAGGAAAGGGACAATGGTTTGAAAATGCTTTTTCAAATTACTTCTTAGTATTTTCAAGCAGGATTCTTTTTTATTTGGCACATATTTCATGACAATTAAAATAGATGGATCTTAATCCATTTTACCCATGCCATTTCAGTTCTATTTATTGGAAAGAAAAATTGGTTGATCTCAGATGCATTTAACTTCCAAGGTAGCATGTTTAAGATAACAGCTTAAACCTGGGTTCACATTGGCAGGAGTCCAACTAAAGTATGACTCTAACATTCATCACTTGCTGTATCAATATGAACATTTTCTGGTTTAACATCGTTAGGTCTATATCAGCTTTGGTATGATATGATCAGTGAGCTACTGGAGTCCATTAATCTTGCAAGAACATCAGAAGATGAGAGCACAGATTTGTTAAAGGAGTGTTGGCCTTCCATCAGCTCTGTGGCATGTCCCATCTACTGCTAATTTACATGCGATTCTGGGCTGAATTGTTTGTGATTTTTTTTTTGAGTGCTCTGGATTGTTGGGAGTCAAAATATTTATTATTTATTATATTGAGAAGATTAAGGGACAAAATAATTGCCTCAAGACTTGTGGAGTCATAAAATACCAATTTCATCCCTTTTTAAAAAAAAATTCTAGCATTTCACCATTGGGGTGGGTTTAGGGAGCAAAATTGATATCTTATGTCTTGCATACATTTCATTATTGTAATTCTCTATGCATTAAAATGGCCTAAAACAATTGGCTACACAAGATGATTGATGTCATGACTTCTGCTAAAAGCCAGAAAGAAACGGAGTCTTCAGTCACAAGCAAGTTGCTTACTCTTAATTATAAAATGGTGTCATAGGAGACTGGTTATTATTTCTATTTCACTTCTTTTAATTATAGTAATAATGTGACAACTCTTGAGGAATCTTTCACACTGATTTGTTTTCCTAATGTGTCTACAATTTGTAGAAGATTTTTATACACGTCATAACCGGTATTTCTATGTTCTGTCATTGCATTTCATGTACAGTGCTCTAATTCTGATTAACTATGCACCCTAAAATGCGATTTTCATTTCCTTATGAAAGGAAGTCCATTGTGCATGTTAATCAACTGTTAACTATGTGGAATATTGTTTATTTTTGTTGAATTTCTCATGGATGAAGTCCCCCGGTCTCCAATATATATACACAGCAGGGTTGAAATTCAAAAAATGTCCTTACCGGGAAAATTGGGTGTGTCTGGGGGCCACATTGTGGGCGTGGCTGTGGGCATGGCTTGGTATAATAGTAATAGCAACCAGGGGCAATTTTTACTGATTCAAATTGTTCCTACCACCTCTCCTGGGTTGGGCCAAGGTGGTTGAATTTCATCCCTGATACACACACACACACACACACACACACACACACACACACACAGCTATATACACAAACTTAGATAAATGATAGATAGATAGATAGATAGATAGATAGATAGATAGATAGATAGATAGATAAATATTCCCACAGGCTCTCACAAAACACCCCAGCCAGGAAAGTCGTTGTGTTGTGTCTGAGCATCACCTGTGCTTTCCAAGGAAGGTCCCATCTTGCCAAATCATTAGAATTGTAGCTTCGTGTATGGCTTTTCTACAACCCCATTTTTGTGCTTGTTTTGTTATATTTTTCTACAACCCCATTTTTAAACCATTGTGCTAAAAAAACAAGGGAAGATGTGCAAGCACCCTCATTTTTCTGCTTTGCAGACCCAGGAGTTTCCTGAAGTAGGCTAACAAATGTATTCAAAAGGATTGCCAAAAATCTGTGGCACAGCCTCTCAACAATTTAGGATGCGAGATATATGAAAATTGTAATGTGTACCCTACTTAGATTTAACACGCATTTGCTTATTTGGCTGATGCCTCCTATGCATGTGGGATAGCCCTACATATCCAGTAATTCTTTCAGTACTGGGCAAAGGTGCATGGTCTCTGGCCAGCAAAAAGTAATAATAAATCTGCTCTTTCAAAAATAATTAGGATGTTTTTTAAGGGAAGAAAAGGGGGACCAACTGCGGGCTAAGACATTTTATTGAATGGAGGTCACTAGCAAATGTGTTATTTGCACAAAGATTTTACATATCACATGGACCTTTTGAGGAACTTCTTTGTCTTGTTGATCATTCAGTAAAGGACTGAAAGTGGATTTGAATCCACATATCTCACATAATCGATAACCCCGTACATTATTTTTTAAGGTTTGTAGCTGTGATATTGCCCCTGAACACTAGTCGATTTATTACTACAAAAATTACACAAAACCCATGTTTTGGATTTGATGAAGTGAACCGAGGTCCCCAAATGCTTATGTGTTGATAAATCTGTTAATCTTTAGGGTGTCAGAAGCTTTTGTGATTAAAGCTTTATTCACCACTCTTGTGGGGAAAGCATTTTAGGTTGGATGGCTGACATATTCAGGTTGATCAGTTGGTGACAGCTTTGTAACATGTCTACTTTGCTCCTGGGAACTGAACAACTGCTCATCCAGTCAGAGCATATGTATCGCTTCTAATGTAGTGCCTTTGGTGGAATAAGGTCACAAATTACTGCTGAGAAATCATAACCATTCTGTATGTGTGAACCAGTCCTGGATGTGTTTCCCCCAGCCATGCCAGCTGCCTTCACCATCACTTTGTCACCTCTTGCTTTTGTGCATAAGAAGCAGATCAGTTTCTTCATGTTATGCATGTCAGCAAGCAGGGATGGGTGTGTGTGAGTCAGAGTGCAGATCAATATTTAATTTTATATCGCTATAGATGACTTTTTTTTTTTTTTTTGCCAGAAGCAGATAGTCACGTCTTTCCCACTCTCCATGAAACAAGGGCTGGAATTAAAGGAATATTCTTGCCCTTTGTGAGATGGAATGGGACAGGAAAGAGAAAATAGTCCCTAGAATAATTTGAAGAAAAGTGCCCCCCACCCAAAAAAAGGGATTTAGTGAGCTGAACCACCAAGCCATCATGTCCACAGATATTAAACTAATGTTTCTTTCATATTTAGTAATGCCAATATGTGAGTTCAGTAAAAAAAAATGAGTTTTTGAAACCTCAAAAATGTATCTTTATGAACCTAATAAATATTGCAGTGACATTTCCAGTATATTCTAAAACATTATGCGACAACAGTGAATGTATCTGTGAATATGATTAATCATAGAAGATGCTTAAATGGATCTCTTCTATTCACATAATTGGATGAAGTCTGAATATCCAGAAAAATGCAATTTGTCAATATAGGATAAGTTACTTGTTTCTTCATAGTCCCTGCACTCTAAATTTTACAACTGGAGTCTAAATTGCATGTTTTGTAAGGAAATTGATTTCAGTGTATGCATTGTCTAGAGCAGTATTTTTCAAACATGGCAATTTTAAGATGGGTGAATATGCTGACTGAGGAATTCTAGGAGCTAAATCTACACATCTTAAAGTTGCCAAGTTTGAAATACACAGCTCTAGAGCATCACTTTAACATCAGCAATGGTATGTAAACTCCATGTAGATTTCTTAAGTCATAAATGTTTTATTAGTTTAAATAGCAGTGTTTCCAAGCCTCTTCCATCCTCTACCTATTCTAGAAGTCTTATAAGATCTACTCATTTGGTACATTTTGAAATTCAGGATTCAGTTAGGACAGGTTGGAAAAAATGTAACTGAACTGTGGAATATTCTACATTGTTGATCAAATATCTAGATATCTACCATAGTGATTGAATGTATGTACAATATATATGCATGTCCACATATATGTACTGCATTTTTGTTCGTTGTCAATAGTACCTAAAATAACTAAAAAAGTAATGTAATTTTAAAAACACAGTTAAAACCACCATCAGCAAAATAATTCACATTGAACTATTTTAAACCTGATCTAGCAACCAATTTTCTTATTGCTTATAAAATTATTCTTCCCACCAGCAGAAGGGAATCAATATAAACTCCACCCAAAGTCTGACATTCAGACAGTATACAAGCTTAATAAATTATTATTATCTACCAGTTCTTCATCTGATGTTTACCATTTGTTTCACTGAGTTCTTCCCAAGTATGATTTGTCACAGTATATCAGCATAGTATATGTGCAGATCCAAGCAATGTGGCCTTTTGTAATTAACAGATGGAAATTTTGTTAATGCACAGAATTTACCAAGGGCCGTCCAAGATTTTTTCCAGTATGGTATCCTATATGTTGATAACCACTGGGACACCAAGCCTGGTTTATGTCACAGTCTTTCAACTTTGGTTTTCAAATCTTAGATACTTTATGATTTTCTCCATTTCTTCTATTCTAGTATCCTCTGATATTGCTACATTAGTGACTTGCATTTCCTTCTTTTCAGCTATAGTTAAATCTGGAGTGTTGTGGGCCAAGACTTTATCAATTTGCATTTGGAAATCCAACATTTATTTTCATTGTTATAATTCAGGAATTCCCAATGAAAGAGAAAACAAATTAGAAACAAAACAGAGCATCCAAAATCTTTGCCTGAAACTAGAATGCAGGTCAGTAACTGGCTTCCTGTGTTCCAGGTTAGGATCCAGTGTCCAATTCACCTGCAGTGAAGGTTATGACTTGCAAGGCTCCAAAAGCATCACCTGTAAGAAGCTGAGTGGTATGATAGCTGCCTGGAGTGACCAGAGACCAGTGTGTCGAGGTAAGATAAATAAAACTTATCTAATAGTGATTCTTTTATCTGGAGATCATCCATTATTTAGTAGCTTGCTGAGTCATAAACTAGGATACTTACAACAGGCTTGTTATAAGTTGGTTCTAATAATATAACCCTGTTTATTCTTCTAAAGGCATGTAAATTTAAATTAACATCTAAATTTCTCCCCTTAAATCTATGTGGTGTCCATGCAACTCTGAGCCCTTATTGTGTAGCTGTCAAGGAAGCAGAGCTGAATGCAAGTCTGCATTCCCCAGTTCTCCAAAACCTTCTCTAAATTATTGTATGGTCTGCATATATAAATATATATGTAATCCTCAACCTATATTTCTAAATTCCATTATCAAGTACATGATCTGGAAATTTCAGTGAGCTTTTACATACATTCTTATAAGACTACAATCAACAATATTGGATTTAAACAGACTATGGCTAGGTAGGAGTTCTGTTGGCAGAATTTTCCTTTATATAAAAGAAGGTCCTCCAGCTTTAAAAAAAGCAGCAAGTCAAAGAGAAAGTTTATGATCTCACAAATATGGGTACTGTATATGTAGGAATGACTATCCTTACAATGCCATTCCTCTGTGGTCTGAAGGTTCTTGATCATGCTGCATGTCATTTTTGGTCGTACCTTGTTGCACCACTGAGATATCAAGCATTTTTTCTTCAAGAGCAGCTTGCCCAAGGAAGATTTCTCTTAAAGATTAGACCATAATTTGAATTCCAAGTAACCAATGAAAGGCTCCTGGCATGAATATTGCTCAATGAACCACACAGTTGGAAAGTTGAGAAGTTGGTTGTTGGAGTAGAATGATGTCTTCAGTAGCACATGGAAATATGAGTTTTAACCAATCACCCAACTGTTGGAAATGTCTGAAAGAACGGGGCACATATTACCACGTATGGTGGTCCTGTAAAAAGGCTCAGGAGTTCTGGTACAGAATTTGGTTAGGGCTAGATGAAATGATGGGGTTAAAAATTTGTTATAAACCTGAGATGTTCTTACTGGGAATAATGCAAGAGAAGTTTAACAAAGCTGATACTTATCTAATAATACATGTAACCATGGCAGCAAGAATGATATTTGCCCAAAATTGGAAGGCAAGAGAAATTCTTAGGGAGGATTATATGATTGATAAGATACTACAATGCACTGAAATGGATAGGTTGACATTAGAACTTAAGGATAAAGACAACTCAGAATACCATAAAATAAATTTTATTATTGGAGGGATATGAAAGGGAGTTCATAAACTTGGTATAAGCACTAAAGATGAAATAGGGAGGATGTGAGGGATCACTTATTTGAGGAGTAATGAGAAAGAATTAAAAAGTATAAATGTATATATGTATATATATATATATAAATGGACACAATTTCTTTCTGAATGTAATATGCACTGACAAAAATGTATGTCAAAGAAGACCACCACATTCAGTGTTTTAATGTGTACAATTGTGTGCAATAAAATTTATTTAAAAAGAAAAGAAATATGAGTTTTAAGAGTTTAAGATGAAATTCGTTAGCACATTTGTTCTTTGTTTGCATGTCTTCTACTTCCATAGCGTGTTCACATAATAGATTAAATCTTTTTCAATACTGGCAACTAAACATATCAGAGAGCTGTCCACTGAGAATGTACAAATGGACTTCAATCCATAAACTCTAATGCATTCATATGCACTTGCATGAAAATAAAAAAATTTACCTTCTGGGTCTACAATGCAGAAATGCATTTTTATGCTACTAATTAAACATTGGAGAGAGTTGCTTGCTGTGGTCTATGATGTTTCTGCATGGCAGGACAAATTCTGAGTTTATAAGGATCTCACTTGGACATTTATATATGAAAAAGTCAGACTCAGTCACCATTCGATCACTGGAAGTAAACGCACTGCTATTTAGGGAGTGCCTGATAAGTGTGCTCTTGATTCTGCCTTATGCAGTCCATAAACCCATATTTAAGTTTTTCAGCAAATATTATGTGATCCTTTTACTGGCAGGAGATGAATCTGACAACTCTTAATCTCCACAGCTATTGTCTTGGAATAACAGTGAATACGGATATACCCAACATGGCTTTGATTTTTGATGTTTGATAACGTATATTTCTTGGATTCTATTTCCACATATTCAGTCCTTGCTTTTTGTCAGTCTTCTCCAATTGAAGGTTCTCCACAGAGAGAATCACACAATTGGAAGGGATATTTAGGCTGTTGAATGCAGCTCTCTGCTCAGTGCAGAAAGCCAAATTAAGGAACTGTGAGAATTGGTAGCCTATATAAAACTTATCATTCCTCAAGAAGTACAATCATAGTCATTTAGGAGATGATGGGATTGTAGTGTGTTATATCTTCTGTCCAGGCCAAAACCAAGAAAGACATGTGGTGAATTTTCCAAGCGAAGTTCTTTGTTTTTTTTACCATGTAAATGCAAAATCTTGGCAGACTGAGGATTCTGCTATGCTCACCCATCATCTACCCTGTGAATTATTAAGGAAGGGCTGTCTTCACTCTCTTTCTCTCAAAAATATCTGGGCTACATTATCTCTTACTCCTCTGAAATCACCAGGTCTCTCCTAGCTATCCACTCCTTGTTGCATTCCATCATAGAAGAAGGGACCTTCCCTAATCCTCTAAAACAGGGGTGACAAACTTGATTTCATTGAGGGCTGAATCAGGGTTGTGTTTAATCTTGGGGGCTGGGTGGGTGTGGAAAGGGTGGGCATGGCCAGCTCAACATCACTCATGTTGGGGGCAGAGGCACCACGGGCCGGTCCTTTGCTGTTTCCAGGGTGGCCCCATGGGACAGATTTAAGTACCCCTTGGGCTGAATCCAGCCCACGAGTCTTGAGTTTGACACCCCTGTTCTAGAACAGATAATACAGATAATCAGAGATAATACAGAGAATCAGAGTTGGAAGGAACCTCGTAAGTCATCTAGTCCAACCCCCTGTCCAGGAGACAGGGGGGAGACCCTACACCATTTCTGACAAATGGCTGTCCAATCTCTTCTTGAAAGTCTCAACTGATGGCGCTCCCACAAGTTCTGAGGGCAAGCTGTTCCATTGGTTGATTGTTCTCACTGTCAGAAAGTTTCTCCTTGTTTCCAGGTTAAATCTCTCCATGTTCAGTTTCCATCCATTTTTCCTTGTCTGGCCTACAGGAGCTATAGAAAATAGCTTGACCCCTTCCTCCCTGTGGCAGCCCCTCAAATATTGGAAGACTGCTATCGTGTCTCCCTGGTCCTTCTCTTTACTAGACTAGCCAAGCCCAGTTCCTGCAACCGTTTGTTGTATGTTCTAGCCTCCAGTCCCCTAATCATCCTGGTTGCTCTTCTCTGTACTATTTCTAGAGTCTCAACATCTTTTTTATAACGTGGTGACCAAAACTGAATGTAGTACTCTAGGTGTGGTCTTACTAAGGCTTTATAGAGTGGTATTAGTACTTCCCTTGATCTTGACTGTATCCCTCTGTTAATACAACTTAGGATTGCATTAGCTTTTTTGGCTGCACACTTCTGGCTCATATTTAGCTGGTTGTCCACTAAGACTCCAAGATCCCTTTCACAGTTACTGTCATTGAGCCTGGTTTCACCCAGTCTATATGTGTACTTTTGGTTTTTCTTGCCTAAGTGTGGGACTTTTCTCTATATTGAATTTCATTTTATTAGATATGGCCCAATGTTCTAGTCTGTCAAGATCCATCTGGATCTTGAGCCTATCTTCTTGGGTGTTAGCTATTCCTGCTAGCTAAGTATCATCTGCAAATTTGGTAAGTTCCCCTTCTATTCCCTCATCTAAGTTGTTAATGAAGATATTGAAGAGTATTGGGCCTAAGACGGAACCTTGTGGCACCCCACTGCTTACTTTCCTTCATGTAGACTTAGACCATTAAGGACTACTCACTGAGTATGGTTTGCCAGCCAGTTGGTGGTGCTATCTATTCCACTTTTTTCTAGCTTATTAAGAAGTAGATTGTGGTCTACTTTGTTGAATGCTTTGCTGAAATCTAAATATATTATGTCCACAGTATTTTGCTGGTCTACTAATTTAGTCACTTTGTTGAAGAATAAAATAAGATTGGTTTGGCATGATCTGTTTTTAACAAACACATGCTGACTGCTAGTTATTATGTAAAGACAGGGGAGAGGAAAAATGTTTTCGGACTTGCAACATTGCTATCACTCTTTTGAGATAATCCAGACAGAAAAACAAAACCATGAGTACTAATACCACTTTTATTGTAATGCTGCATAACAAGATTGTATTCATTTGTTTCTTTTAATTATGTCATTATTTCATTCGTTAAATTCATAGGGCAGCTTACAAAAATTTATATTTTGCAAATCTTACAAATCTGAAAGCATTTCTCCCCTCCTTTATTTATACTTTTCAGAAAACTAGGGAGGGTCTCTTCTGAAGTACTTCCCATGCCCATTTGTTCTGTGAACGGTGATGTCTCTTGTCTGACCATTGTCTGGTCTGGGGCTCTTCCTCCTGTGAAAAGGTTGTTCTCACAGCCCATTACACTTAATCAGGAAAGCTACTCCATACAGTTCTGGCTAGCTAGTCTTTTGCTCTGACAGAATACAAAGCAGTTTTCTGTTCCTATTCAGCCTGTTTTCTTCTAAAAAATTCATTTTCTCTGTTTTTGTCAAAATGTCTCAGACAAAGGCTCTACAGTCTCAGCTTAATTTATCTGCCTCTCATAAAATATTTATTATGTTAAGAAAAAAAGTTGCAGCCATTTTGTGCAATGTAGGGGTACTCTAAAATAGTGGAACTCTTAAACCTGTTTTGCAACTAGACCTAAACCTCTTCATTCAAGGCTTGTTAAACAGATTTCATTTTGCAAGAAGAAGAAATGGTGTCAGATTTCTACCCTGTGGTATACGAGTAAAAGATCAACAACATACTACCCCAAGCGGCTGCTTGATAGGAACTTCTTAAGGCTCAGGTGATCCTGTGGGTTAGTCTCACAGCAGGACAACTGACTTAATGTGAAAAGCTTATTATGAGATCTTGTGAGCTGAATCACTACTGATTTGAGTATGGGGAATATTTAGCATCCCTAGGATTTTTCCCTAAGAAAAGAGTTCAGGAAAAAGAACTCTCTTGAAAGAAGCATAGAATTTTTCTTGTTGGGGAATAATTTAACACACAAAAAAAGATGAAAAATAATCCCCCAAAAGTAAAATATTGATACAACATAGTCCATAAGAAATCTTTAATATTGCATACTATCCTAAATCTTTAAAGTCTAATCTTGTATCATTATGCATCTAAGTCTTACCTGGGTGAGCACAGCCATGGGATTTTAGGAGAAGAAAGTATTAGATTTCTGCATGTGCATCTTTTTTGTCTGCCAGGAAGTGGGGGAGGCCATGCATGTGTGTGTACCTGCACATAAACTCTTTCTATCCTTATTTTGATTCATACAATTTTGATTAGGAAGAGCTGTATGCAGATATAGCAAAAATAGGGTACTTCGGAGATGGTGTTTACCTCTAATAGTTTCAGAAATATGTTCCTCTCCTAGATACTTTTCCCTTCTCTTAGGAAGCATGTAGGAGCTCCAGGTTGTAAACAGGCCTCCTCAGAGCCATTGCTTCTTCCAAGAAATAGTGACATCTGAGCTCCAATCCATGCAACTAATGCAACCAAAGTAGCTTATGAGTTATTCTGTTAATGTTCCTTATATCTGACCTACGTAGAAAAACTTGATGAATTGTCTTTTCTTCTAAGATGTATCCTGGCAACGACCTCATAGAGAATTGTCTAAAAATGGCCTTATAATTCAGACCCAAGACATTATGTTAATTTTTGGATTCCATTTGTAAAACATTTGTAGAGCTTCAACTATTTTTTTTTAAATCTTTTTAATGCCCAACAGTTAAAATATAATCCTTTATTCATTACTCGAGTATCTGTCCAGCGAGGCTTACTCCTGGGAACCTAGATGTAGGATTGAGTTAGTATACCCGAGAGAAGCAAAATAAAATTGCTTTCATTAAGTAAGTTTCATTTTGACCACTTTGTTTTCTATTTTTAAAGACACTCCTTGGATTGATCAGAGCTTCGTTACCCAATTATCTCTAGTTTTGTGACTATTCTCTTCATAGTTGTAAAAAGAAACTACAAGATCTTGAGCAGAAAGTAGATGGTATGGGGAGGATACAGAGATTAGAATCCTCGAGGGCTCCATCAACATGATTAATAGATGCATTTGGCTTCAGGATTATATATTTTGTGCAAAATACCTTTCTCTTGCACACCAAGAGAGACCTACTATCCTACAACTTTAGTGATAAAAATGGTAAAAAAAAAAAAAAAACCTCCTTCTGCACTGATTCATTTTAAGAAAAGGAACGTTGCAAACCAAATTTTCATCCACAAATAGATTTCCTGTTTCTTCTTTTTTTTCCAAATTCCACAGCTAGAATGTGTGATACATACCTCCGAGGGCCCAGTGGTGTTATCACATCTCCTAACTATCCTGTCCAGTATGATAACAACGCATATTGTGTGTGGGTGATCACAGCACTCAATCCAGCCAAGGTAGGTCTTCCGGATATATTATTGGGCAACCAAATGTTGGCTTTTGTCTGAAAAGACTAATTTAGTCTTGGGGACAGAGGATCATCTTCCAAAACAATAGGCGTTTGCACTGAATTCTGTTAAGAAGGGTTTTCAATGTTATACAAGACAATGTAAACCAATGTTTCTTAAGCTTGAGAATTTTAAGATGTATGGATGTCAATTCTCAGAATTTTCAAGCCTGTGAGATATGGTGGCTATGGAGAGGGAAGCATTGGGAAGGGGGAGGGTTTTTTTTTTTTGTAGGGAGGGAGCATACTCCAAGGAGGAAGCTGAGACAAGAAGCAGCACAATTCAGAACTGGATAGGACACAGTGGAAGAGAGATAAGATAGCTAGAATCACCTAGGTTATATTTGTTGGGTATGAGTAGTAAGGATTTAGTCTGGCAAGATTCTGTCTATTGCACATAAGCAAATAAAGAACTGACTTTATTAATCTACATCAAGAGTGTCAAACTAAAGGCCCACAGGTGCTTAGATCTGGTCCACAAGGCCACCTTGGAAACAGCAAGGGACTGGACCGTAAAGCCTCTGCCAGTGAAAACAGAATTCAGAAGGGCCACACACGACCATCCCCCCAATCTCCGTTTTTGGCTGTGACAGCCTCTTGCAGCCATCTGTCAGCAAAAATTGAGCTCGGGGGCAATGCAGGAGGCCATCACAGCTGAAAATGGGGCCTGGGGGAGCACGCACAGCCCCCTGAACTCCATTTTTACTGGCAGAGGGCTAGCAAAACAAACTAAAAGCAAAACAAAACAAAAGGAGAAACCTTTGCCCTTTTGCGTTTGAGCATCCAAGAAGGGACAGGAAAGGAGAAAGGGAAAGAGGAAAGACAAAAAGAAGAAAAGATGAGAAGAGAGGAAGGGAGGAAAAATAAGGAAAGAGGGAAAGGAAGAAGAAAGGAGAATGAAGAGGGAAGGAAAAGGAAGAAAAGGAAGGAAGGAAGGAAGGAAGGAAGGAAGGAAGGAAGGAAGGAAG